CACTTCTAAGTGGGACAGTGCCATCTGACTTGGGCACTTGCTGTTGTTAATAACAGTATTTCGAAATTAAAGAAGAAAAAGAAGAAAAATAAAAAGAATAATAATAATAATAATAATAATAATAATAATAATAATAATAATAATAATAATAATAATAATAAGAAGAAGAAGAAGAAGAAGAAGAAGAAGAAGAAGAAAAGAAGAAGAAAAGAAAGAATTACTTACGTAATTTTTAGCCTCGTCCGTGAAGGTTCTATCTAAATACTGCTTGCTGAGTCCTGTCTTAAACGCTGCAGCTGTTAACTGCAAGCATGTTTCCCATCGGGGTACATCCTGATAATTCGGGTTAATCGCCTGCATTAACATGAATAACATTTACACAAAAAAATCAGAGTTGTTGGAGCTAAAGTGTTGTGCTTTGTGTGACGTTCTGTTAGTGTTTTTACTTCTTATTCATAGTATGTTTACTTCTAGGAACACACTGTGCTTTGTATTAAAAAAATACTATTACTGCGTGAAAGATAAGTGTTTGGATGGGCCAGATGTAAAACAGGCCAGCGTGCTCTCTTCCAACCCACACCACCACAACCACCACGGCACTACGTGGAAAAAGACCCACACAAAACAAAACAAAAACAAATAAACATGTAGAATGGGAAAGCTGACAAGAACTAGACTTAAACAAGAACGATGACCTGAGCCTCCTTGAACCGAAGAGCGATTACCAGATTCTCAGTTTTTATTTCCAAGGTTAAGGAAAATGTCAAAGGCTATGGACAATTTCTAAAGTGCCCTCTTCCCTTGATACTCTAAGCCCATTCTTATTTTGTTTAATGGCTAATCCACTTCTGCCTGTGTATGAGCCTCTGAAAGCAAAATCCATTTGTTGGTTGCAGCTACAAGTTGCTTGATGTAAATAGACGGCGGCACATGGGATTAAACAATGAGATAACTGGAAAGGCACAGCAAGAATCACATTCCGGCAGCCGTAGACACAGAGGTAAGGGCACAGATAAGGTCATTCAGTATTCACACCCAGAATCCATCATCATATTCACAGATGGATCAGTAAAACACGGGTCAAGGTCAGCGTGGGCATATACACCACATCGGATGGGTAAACAATGAAAGAGGACAGCGGCGCTTACCAGGCAACTACGTCAAGCGTGACCAGGGAAATAGCATCTTCTTACACTAGGATGAGCAGCAGACAAAACAGATGCAGTAATTGTGTCAGACTTCATGAACGTGCTTCAGAAGATAGGCACAGACGCGCTGAATAGGAAAAAAGCATTTGCAAAATCACACCTGGATCTACACAATTGGTCATGCAGACGTAAAAGGTAATGAGCGAGCGGACCGACTGGCATCAACTCGCCAACGCATGTGGGAAGAAGCATGGACAGAGGAGATATCATCAAAGCTTTACGGAACGGACAAGTGGATAATGACGAATCTCGGATACTGACACGATTGCCTGACATGGAAGTAAAGCATGGTGAAGCACGTCTATGCCGTCTTCGAGGCGAGATAGGGAAGGGACATTATAACCATCCTCTCATGGAAGCAAATAAAAGAAGTACTTCGGAGTGCCTGTTTCACTGGAGCATTGAATGCGCATGAGAATACCCATTGTGTTGTGACGTCGATTGTCATAGCATAACATAGTGTGAAATGTAATTATTCTAATGCCAAATTCCAATTCCTTTAAATACAAAAAAAAAAACAATTCAATTTTGTTCAACCTGCTGCTAGCTAGCTGAAGCTGCCAACAGTCTCCGGCTATATTTGTGGTCTTGTTCTTTTGCGCCAATTTTGTGGTATTTGCGCCGTCTCTGGGCCTAATGCTTCCTTCCTCAATGTCAGACCGCTATCATTTATAGTTTTACAATTTTGAGTATTTTACTTTGCCGAAAAGTACTGAATACGGTCTTTGGGTTTGGATAGACCCGAAATGTGAAAATATGTGACCATAGTGGTCTTATATTTGTCTTCCTGCAATAAGAACGAGTTAATCGTGTCATCGAGATGTGTGTGAAATGTTAGGTTGAACCTCACAATAATTTTATCCGTTATTTGTGTGAGCATCCATACATTCACACAATATTACATGTTTGCACTCCCTTTCACACATATCAATGCATTGAAATACACCTATGTTTGTGCCAAGGTTTGCGGCTGTAAGAAAAAACGAAGAAGACGATAAGCTTGCTGACAGGGATTGAAAAATGAGAGAAGCCAACGCATGACACTAGGGGTTGAATTTCAGTATTCCAGACGAGTTTTTTTGTTTTGTTTTTTGTTTGTTTAGATAATTATATTTGTCAATGTTTTTTTCTAATCATCCGTGGACCACATCAATAGACGATAATGACAGAAAAAAATACAAAAGTAGATATTACATAATTTTGTAAATCATATATAAAAATTACAATATTATAGCTAACAGCATTTGCTGGCAAGAGGTTATAAAATCTGACATAAAGTAACTGAAGAGTTGTTTCTAAAAGACAAAACTCTTCCTTGACATTATTATGATCTCTCCTTTTGGTTTCGCTGCACATACTTGTATGACTGGACTGGTATTTTTAGCCAATGGCCATGACATTCCCACAGAATAGAGGCGTTCCGCAGATCACAGACGGAAGAAGAGGTGGCAAGAAACTAACCAACCAGTCCATTAACCAAACATACAATCAATCGAACTAATTAGTCTAAACAAACAACCAATCTACCAATTAAACAACTTTAAGGCAACGATGAAATAATCTTATTGTTCTGCCAACCTAGTAATCAAATACACATACAAACAAACAAAAGAAACAATCGACACTAATAAATTAGACAAGACTAAACCATCCATCTAACTATTCTACTATTTAGTCATCTATCTGAGCAGCCAGCACACATTCAATCTGCAGGACGCAGAAAGAGAGTCAGAAACAAGAGAAGAGGCTAACAAGAAAGGAACAACAAAACAAAAGAAGTAGAGGAAGAAGAACCTGAAACAGATGATTATGTTAATGATAATAATGCTGCTGAAGATGTGATGATGATAATGACAATATTGCTGCTGAAGATGTGATGATGATAATGATGATATTGCTAAAAATATCTATGATGCTGATGATAGCGGTGATGATGGAGATGATGATGAAAAAGATAATAAAGTAGTAGGGGAAAAATAATACTAATTATAATAGGAAGAAGAGGAAGAAGAAGAAGAAGAAGAAGAAGAAGAAGAAGAAGAAGAAGAAGAAGAAGAAGAAGAAGAAGAAGAAGAAGAAGAAGAAGAAGAAGAAGAAGAAGAAGAAGAAGAAGAAGAAGAAGAAGAAGAAGAAGAAGAAGAAGAAAAAGAAGAAGAAGAAGAAGAAGAAGAAGAAGAAGAAGATGCAGAAAAATAAGAAGAAAAAAGGGGTATATAGTTATTGACTAATATTTTATATACGCTTTGATACCTTTGTCAACTTCGCTCTAATCTCTCTCAGATGCTTGGACGCATCGCCAAGTCGATCCACTGCATATCTGAATGCGAACACATTCTGCAAGGTTCTGAGGATTCGGTAAACAAAGCAAATTACTGATGCCAAATTACTAATCATATTCCTCTAAATAGAACAATATGTACGAAGGGCTTTAAATGACACCCTACCCCTCCCTATGTAGCCATTACTGGTGTCCCAATCATAACTTCTTCAAGCCATAAGCGGGTATCAGAGATTCGCTTTGCTGGTGTGCCATCCAATTTATTAATTTAATGGTGTCAAAACATAGACGACAGCCAAGAGGAAAAAATGCCGGAAGACAGAAACATGCAAAGAACAGCCCAATATGCAATGACATCGCTTAAGATAGCATAACCTATCAAAAGCCCACAAGCAACTGCCACAAGGTTATCCTGGATCTTGCATTCCCCTTCAATTCACAAATTATCATCTCCATAAATGTTTACGCTCGAGAAGTCCTGATGAAGTGGCTAGACTCTTGCCTGCCGATCAAAAGGTTGGGGGTTCCGATTCTGACCGAGCCTGAATTGTTCTAAAAATGACCTTGGCTCCCAGGTCGACCTGGCCTTAAATGGTTACCCGACGAAGTCCTAGAAAGTAAAAACGGCCGGCGTAATGTTGCCCATATCAACCACCAAGTGTCAATTGGTCTGTACAATATAATTCTAACCTTATATGTCCATTACGCCAGAAGGCGGGAACAAGAGTCCTTCACCCAGGTTCTGGAGCTGGACTAAAGTCCCGAGGCTGTCGAGGAATCAGTTTTGTCCCCACGAGTTGGCAACCAGTGAACATGTGGAAGGAGGAGAAGGAGAAGAAGAAGAAGAAGAAGAAGAAGAAGAAGAAGAAGAAGAAGAAGAAGAAGAAGAAGAACAAGAACAAGAACAAGAACAAGAAGAACAAGAAGAACAAGAACAAGAACAAGAAGAACAAGAAGAACAAAAAGAACAAGAAGAAGAAGAACAAAAAGCTGCAGCAGCAGGAGAAGAAGCAGGAGAAGTAGAAGTAGAAGGAGGAGACGGATGAGAAAGGGGAAAAGGATGAGAAGCAGAAGAAGGAAAAGAAACGCCCTCACAGTTTGAAAAAAAAAAAAAAAACCGTAGTGACATGAATGGCTTACACAAGAGCAGGCAGAGGTCGTCTCTCACGACGGTGTGTATCGGAAATTAAAGACTGAAAAAAAAAATCATTAGGCGAAACAGTTGGCAGAGGACAGAGTGAGTTTTCGGCTTCATGATGAGAGATTAATTCTGCGAAGGAACTACATGATGAGAGAATAATTCTGCAAAGGAACTACTACATCATCATTATGGTGATGATGGTAGAGCTAGTGATGATGAGGAGGGTATTGGTGGTAGTGATAGTGACGATGATGAGGGAATTCGTGGTGGTGATAGTATTTAAATGAAAATGTCTATGAGTTTTCTTTATTGTTGTTGTTGTTGGAGGTACTGATGATGATAAAGATGGCACTGATGATGATGAATACAACACCTGGGAGAAGTCTCGTTGATTAGTTTATTCAACATAACCAGGTATTCTCCGGGAAATAAGATCAGTTTCAAATCATCAGGTAGTGCTACACCAGCCACACCGAAAGCAGATCGCAACATCCCGGCTACATCAATCTGCAAAATATTAAGGAAAAAAATTACTGAGGTTAATTTGTCAGACACTTTCTTCTTCTTCTTCTTCGCGTTGACCAGCTGTACACTCTGGCGGAATGTTCTTGTTGCTCTTCCACTACTGAACTGCAGTCCTGCTCAAGAACCTGAGTGTTGCGTGTGCATCAGTTTCACAGATCTTATTCTCTTGAACACAGACTGTTGGTTCCTTGCCTCTCCGGCAGATGCACTCAGACTTCAAAGGAAGCTCCCCAATTAGTCGACTCTTACGACATGCTTTTGGGGAGGCAGTGGGTCTATTCTTGTTTTCCCCACAATGGGGCCCCGGAACCCACACGGGGGGTGTCAGGCACTGAACATGGTTCTCTCGAAACAAGCTGAAGTAGAGTCGAGTAAAGGACCCTATTCCACGCCTTTCAGGCGTATTAGGTATGTACGTCTACACATATATTTTATAGACCAACGGCACAAGATGGGTGATGTGGTCAGCATGACGCCAGCCGCCTTTACTTCACGGGACAGCACCCGGTACCCACTCACAGCTGGGTTCACCTGGGAGCCTTGATCCTTTCTAGAAAAGAGTCCGTCCCCGCCAGGGAGCTATCTCACGACCTTCCGATCGACAGGCAAGCGTCTAGACGCTGAAAAGGTGGAAAATTGAGACGAAAATTTCCGCTCTATTTATTAAAAATCCGAGTCTCTACTTCAGTTATCTCAGTGAAATATTGGGAGAAAATACATTTTGAGTGGGGTGGAAGAAAAAAAAGTGTGGGGGCTGGGAGGGGGAGGGGGGGGGGGGTTAATTATGGTCCATCGGTTATCGCGTCGTCTCTTGCTCTTCAATGGTCCTTTTCTGTTACGGGGACACATCACGCGATTTTTGGGGAAATACCATGGGGGAGGGGAGGGGGAGTTGGGTTAGGGCTAGTGGTAAATGAATAGCGACTACTACTATAAGAACTCCCCAGGGTAGAATGTACAGCAGGGGTCTTCCGTTCATAAGTAGAAAGATCCCTCGTCGACGATTGTTTCGGCCCGTTACTTCCCATACAATCTCAGAAGGTGGGCCGAACCTGGTCATGACTCCCAGCCCTCGATCTTCCCCTGCTGCACTTTACCGGAGGTTCTCGGACAGGGACAAGATGATATGCTGATTTGTAACATGTGTTGTGAGAATTATTGGTAATTGTCGCTGCGGTAACCCTAACCCAATCCAAACCACTCCCCCTTCCCACCCCCGCCCCTCCTAGACTATAGGATTTTTCTAAATTTAGCGTGATGTGATTGCTTAACAGAAAATAACCGTTATTCCTTTTAGAATGCTTGTTATGTTGTCTTGCGTGGCCGTCCATTGTCTCTATGTTTGCTATTTTTCTATAACTGCCTCTCTTTGACAGTTAGTTAGACCAGCTAGCGTTAGAAACTCAAGTGCTTCTGAGATTCACCGGGTTAATTAAGTCGATACCGTCTAACCAGATCAAGCGGTTTGGCCCTCTCGTTAGAATACAGCAAGATCAAATGCCATCACAAGCACTACATCTCAGAAGATCAGCTACAAGAGCAAGAGGACGGCCGCGGAAAATATTGATCGACAACATAAAAGTCACTCTACGCAGTCACGGCATGACAATAGCCAGTGGCAGCCAACGTGCACTGGATCGCAAATTATTCCTCCCAACGGCGCTCAATGGCAGAAATGGTTTATGATGATGGTGATGATGCCTGTCGGTTGGATAAAACTCGGATCGAGTCGAGAGCATATTATGCATTTAAAATTCAGATCATTTGGGTGAGCAGGGCCGTGAGCCGGCTGATATATTGGTTGCTGCCGCCCTTCTGCGCGGCGAACTACTTTCTGATCAGACGGACACAGCCAAGGCTCGAGGGAACGGTGCAACAAAACATATAAAAGTATCCGTACTTGATTATATATCCATACACGGAGACTGATTTAGCAGGAAAAGATTGAAGGAGCTCAACAAATTGCAGCGAAAGAAGGAAAGACAAGCGAACTTTTAATCAGTTTTTAAATGGCACCAGCAGTATGCCCACATTTTGTCGGAGAGCACGTGTGGGGATATTCAGAGAACATTGATGGCAGTTCCTAATTCATCCATTCATTCATTCACTAACTTATTCATTCCTTTGTTTATTTAAGAGTCCTGACATTCAGACTAACTTTCCTGTCCTTTATGGCGACTAGGCTGGCTTACAGCTGACACTCTGAAATGTTTTTTTTTAAACTGCTGTTTTCTGATGTATTATTCCCATTTCTGAACAAGAAGTCCAATGTTTCTAGCGTTCAGCTTCTAACTGATCGGTGCAACACTGTGAGCTGTGGATTTACCATGGAATGGTTTACTACCCCTACTTTGCCCGCTGTGGTTTTGTGTTGCGAGATACACTATAAATGTCTTGTATTCCAATACGTTCTAAATTACGTGTGCGTATGGTATATTCAGTGTACAACGTGACCTTTCACGGCTGACTGCTTGCACCAACCGTGAGCTTGAATTTTCGTAGGAGGCAGTGTGTGTTGACATATCTGACGGCGGCAATATGCATTTATTTTGCTGTGTGGTCTTCAAGATTATGCTGCGTATGATATATATTTAAAGCAGACAGGGTTATAAATCAATGTCAGTAAAACAAAACTGCCGGAGATAAACCCCAAAAGTGAAAGACCTATTGTAATAGATAATGAAGGTTTGGAAACATTAACTGAGTTCATTTACCTAAGAAGCAATATCTCCTCGGACAGAAATGTAGTGGTTGAAAGCAAGCAGAGAATTGCAAAGGCAAATGCTGCTTGTAACATCAAACATCTACAGCACTAAGACTAAACTCAAGATCTATAAAACATGACTTAGGACAGTTCTCTATGAAGCAGAAACTTGGAAAAGAGATAGAAAAATAGATAGCATGCTCAGAGGTTTTGAGGGAAGACTTTTCAGAAGATAGTTAGGGTTTACATGGAAAGATAAAATTCGCAATTCTAGATTACAACAAATGACATACTTAAAAGATTTTTAAAAAAATACGAAGACGGAGGTGGATTGGACATATACTGAGAATGACGAAAGGGTGACGGCCGAGACAGGCAATGCAACAGACACCACAAGGACAGAGAGGAAGAGTGAGGCTCAGAGTCACCTGAGGGCGAACCTTTGAGGCTGAACTCAAGGCTAAGAGATGGACAAAACTGGAGATAGGATAGCTCAGGATCGAACTGAAAGGCCACTGCTATGTGCCTTATGGTGCGATGATGATTGAATGAATGAATATGTTTTTCATTCTTTTTCTTCTTCTAAAGTGGACACTGACGAACGTTTAGATTGATTTCCACCAACACAAGAGCGGAGCAGCTATGGGGCGACCGGTACACATCAAAGTTGGATCCTGGAATAACGAACAGTGACACTTATTCAAATACGCTTACGTTCTTGGTATGTACTTACATTTGGGCAGATCTCTCCAACTTTTGACAACGTAGTAGTGTTGAACTTTCCTCCACTAGATAACACTGCACTGGCTAAATATACCTGTGGAAAACAAATAATTAAGTTTCTTCTTCCTCCTCCTTATTTGTATCGTCATCATCTTGTTTACAGTATTTATCATCAGTTGTCGTCGTCATCGTCATAAACTCCCATCTTTGCTGTTAGGCGTCGTAGAGATAACACTTTGCATACTGGCCGTTGTCAATCCGTGTGGATGTAGACAGTCTTCAATGTTACCAGTCCGTCTTCTTCTTGCTCCAAAACCACATCTTTGTGTAACCGCTGAGTAGGTAGCAGATAGTGCTATATTCTAAAAAGATGACCAAATCATGTACTTTCTGCTTTTAAGCGAACCTGAAGCAGAAAACGAACCTTCCCCAGGCAATGCCGGCGTAGTGGGTAATGAACAGGCAGACAGATTGACTGGATCTGCACCATTGGTACGCTGTGATATCTGGGCTTTTCGAAAAGGCACATATTATTTAAAAAAAAAAAAAAAAATTATCGTCTCAAACGACATGCCTGTTAGGAGTCATTCTGTTTTCCAATACATATTTGCTGGATCTGCACCATTGGGAGGTGAACTGATACATGACAAGGCAGATGTGGTCAGGGCCCTTTGGGAACAAGCAAAGGAATAAGTAGAGATAGAAAATTATTATGGCCTGGAGAGAATGAGGCACCAGATGGTCTGGCCGGCTCACTGCACTCAGAGGAAAGGCAAGACATACATACAATCAGATTGTGACCGGTACCATCAGTATTGGAAATCTGCGCTGGCTGCTGAAGATGAGTACGAGGCAGGCATGGGAATGCCCCGAGTGCTGTGATGTCAATTCTTGACTCAGCTCAGCTCAACTCAGCGAACCTATATTCCCAGTGTCGATTTTGGAAACAGTCGGTTATGGGAACAAAGAAAAGACACTGAATGTCTCCTAACAGGCATGTTGTTTGAGAGGATAAATTAAGGCTTTTCCAAAATCATATTTGCTATTTCGAAAGACCCAGATATCACAGCCTAACTGTAAACAACAACACAACGCGTCAACCGCTCTTTTAAAGCGCAAACGCCAAAGAATAAGTAGAAATGAATCTGGTGCAAGGTGTTATTCTGACTGTCTGTATGAAAGTATCATTTTTTACTCGGTCTCGAGTGGTTCAGTTGACCTACAAAATAGGTCTCCTCGTCTTACTGAGTTCTTTACAAACTGTCAAAATTAGAATAATCGTAAGTCGAATTAATTTTTTTAGTAAACCCTGTTAATTAAAAAAATGTATATATGAAACAAACATTAAATATACGCAAGTATAATTATTGAACATAATTTAAAACATACATAAAATGTACTCAGTTTCGAGAACTTGTTAGCATTACAAAACCAGTGATCCGTTAGGGTCGTGGAGTTGTATCGATGGAAACACTAGCACATAAAACCTTCCTTCTTTCTCTGCCTTCCGATTAATGAATAAGTGTAAATGATAACTTAGTCGTGTCCATTTCTTGATTTTTTTTCCTTCCAGATATTCTGTGCCCTCCTCTTTTTCGACTTACCACCTCCTCCCCTTCGACTTACCACCTCCTCCCCCACCCCAGTGTCCTTGAAGCACAGTGTTTGCAATCGAACCATGCCCTAACACGTGCCTGAACCAGGATAGCTTACGACGTTTTACCACTGCCAAGAGAGGCTCCCGATGTCGTGCAAATTTGTATATTTTTTCTCCGACATATTTGTAAGTTTTGTGTTCTAAATAACTAATTCGTAAAATCGGTCTATAGAATTTACATTCGATAGCCTGAATCCTCCTTTCCTTTCCACAGTAAGAGTCAACTCTCACACCCGTAAAAGAAAATACATAATACCAGTAATTTGTAAATATTGACCATTACTGCGATGCTGATTTTGATCTTCCACATCGAATTCGGATGGGACATCGCGGCTGTTGCTATATCAAGCCTTGTTTTGATCTCTCTAGTACAGCTGCCATCGTTGCATATGTGAAAGTCGAGATAACTAAAGGTTTCATCTTTACGTTATTAAAAAAGAAGTCCATTGTGTCTGTATGATAGTAGAACTTGTCACCCCCTACTGTAGTTATTTTTCCTTCTTTACCAATTGCTGTGGTCGGAAGTATATCCGTCTCTCTTTTTACTTGAGTGTTGAGCGTCGGCCAGAAGCCCTTGTTAACACTTGCAAATATTAATAACATTTTTGTTCTTCATCCTTAGTTCTTCTTGCATCATGAGAGACAACAGACTACTGGGGCATATTGAGAGAATGTCAAATGACAGAAAAGTGAAAACTGTTTACACAAGGGAGATGAATGTGAGATGAATGGTCGTAGACTACAATGCAGACTAAGAAGACGATTGACAGATAATGTCCAGACAGACCTGCAAACACTTGATATCACCAAATGGAAAGAGAATGCCAGCCAGAAAGATGATAAAGGCGGGTAATATCTGCAGCAATGAACCTCAAGGGCTCGGAATGCTAAAGAACAAGAAGAATCCTTAGTTCTTCATTTGTGATCTTGTTTAGTCCAATGTTCACTGTATTATCTGATTTCTCCCTACACATTGATTTAGTAAAGCCAATTAAGAATATCTTTGTGGCTAGTAAATTAAATGTGGATCATCATTTAGTATCTGTATATACTGAGAAGTGTAGCAGAGATCACAAGTAGTAGACAGTGAGGTGAGGGAGGAAGGGGAAAGGGAGAAAAATGGGAGTTAGGAAGAGACAAAGCAGAGAAAGAAAGAGAAGCAGAGATCAGGGGATAAAAAAAAGATAAGGAAAAATTGATTAGAAAGAAGAGAGTGATATACTATTCCGAAAAAAAAAATCAGGGTGGAAAAAGAGATAAGGAAGGAAGTAAAATATAATAAAGATACTGTCACAGGAAGTGAAAAGAAGCAAAAGTTGCATCACGGGGTGAGAGACGGAGATGCAGAAAGAAGCAGAAATAAAAAAAAAATCTTAGGACGTTGGTGGGGGGGGGGGGGGGGGGGGGGCGGGAACTAAGATCAACAAAGAAGCAGGAAGAAGGAAAATTAACACGATAAACTTAAAAATATAAAAATAAATAGAGGAATACAGAAAAAAAGGCAAAACAACTTGGGATCTGTTTACTCTAGGTCTACTAGTCATAATTATCACCTCCCCATCGCAGCTAACGCACAAATACTGGCTAGAAACAATTTGCATAGTAACTTTTTGTGACAAGTTTGATACCAGGTATGGTAAATTTCGGTTTTGCTGTTTACTATGTTCTTTTATCTCTCCACTTTTTCATATGAGTGCCAATCGAAATATGTTATTATGTTTATCATACATTTAGAAAAGCTCTATTGTATATATTATAATACTAGGTGTACAGACGCAGGGTTCATACTTTAGCCTGTTTTCTTTGGAAGTCGACGACATCCTTGGCGTCTTGAGAGGAAACGTTTGCTTCTGCGCCTAGAGCTACAACCAATTCTGTCAAGTATGTCTGCAGGGCTTTGGGTTGAGGACCCGCTTGTTGGAAAATGCGATAGTCCAAGTCTAGCGGTGGAACGTTTATCTAGAGATGGAGACAAACACAGTGTAAGTCTGTCTGTCTGTCTGTCTGTCTGTCTGTCTGTCTGTCTGTCTGTCTGTCTGTCTGTCTGTCTGTCTGTCTGTCTGTCTGTCTGTCTGTCTGTCTGTCTGTCTGTCTGTCTGTCTGTCTGTCTGGTCTGTCTGTCTGGTCTGTCTGGTCTGTCTGGTCTGTCTGTCTGGTCTGTCTGGTCTGTCTGTCTGTCTGTCTGTCTGTCTGTCTGTCTGTCTGTCTGTCTGTCTGTCTGTCTGTCTGTCTGTCTGTCTGTCTGTCTGTCTGTCTGTCTGTCT